TCCAGAGCGGGACCTATCCTCCCGACCAAGAGTGACCCTGACCTGATGATCCAGGCCATTGTTCCCGCACCCGAGGAGCTTCTGGACTACTTCACCGACGAGATCCGTCAGAAGGTGGAGGGTAGGGCGGGCGCCTCTTCGCACTACTACAGGAGAGCATGCGCGGAAATACGCGACGCTCTCCGTGGGACAGCGGTGCAGCCTGGAAATGCAGGTGCAGTCAAGGACCCAGAATTGGAGGCCTCGTCCGCCAGCGGACAAGGGAACGTCACTTCGGTGATACAACTGAAGAAGTTCCTGAGCCACTACTTCGGCACAAGTGTCGAATCCGAGGAAGCTTTTTCATCGTATCTCCTGGCCTCCTTCCTCGAGGACGGAGTGGGAATGTTCGAAATCATCATCACCGTCATTCGTGACAAGGAGCATTGGTTGCTGCCTGGATCCGCACGCATAGCGGCGGTAAGGTCACTTGAGATTGGATCCGACACTGATTACCGGGCATTTCGTGAACGGTATCAATACATGCTCTACGAGAGCCCTGTCTGTCTTCCCATCACTTCCAAGGTGGTTCCCAAGACGCTCTACAAGGTGGTGCCTCTCCGGATGTATCGGCTCTACGTAGAACGTGGGGCGATCATTCGGGGTGGGCGAGCTTTGATCGAGCTCCTTCCCTCTCGGCCGGATGAGTATCAATCCCTCCGCGATCACGGAGAGTGCCCGAACGACACTGTCGACCGCATCACCGACAGCAACGTGACGGAGCTACACACCTCGGGTCGACGCCAGAGGAGCGATCCCCGTTATGTGGTCATGGCTATCGATGCACGTTTCTTCTCCATGGAAAATGGGGGCATGCATATTACTCGTCAGGGTACATTTGCCTCGCGCGAGAACATCGCGATCGGATACTGGAGATGCGTTTACTTCAAGGAGGACTGCTCCATCATTTACCTGAGGCCTTGGTGCTATCCACCCAACTTCCTCAACTCCGTGAGAGATAACCCGAGGAAATGTCGGGACGAAATGGAGAAGTATCACCAGATCGCCAAGGCGGAACATGTCCGCGAGGTGGTGTCCGTTCCATGCCATAGGTGCATGACGGCTCACCCGGTCGGCGCTCACCTGTGCACCGCCTGCTACCTTCCCATCTTCTATGAGGGCGTCCTGCCCACCGGAGACACGGACGGCGGCCCTCGCACGATAGCGAGTACCAACGGGGTGGTCCCTCCCTGGCTGGCAAAGTACGAGGGCTTCGTCCCCGCTCTGTGGAACAACGCAGATGCCAACGCCATCGGGATGGCCCTCTACTCGCAGAGTCCCGCCGTCGACGCCCGGTCCTTGTTGATGTCTGGGATGCGGCCTCCTAAGTACCTCGACAAAGAGGACGTGGATGGCATTTTCCGAAAGCTTCACGACTCGCTCCGGGACGAGGTTGTTGACGGGAAGTACCGTGATACGGTCGACCACAACGTGGAAGACTGGGTTGCAAAGGCGATCTTGGTAAGAGGTCTTGCCTTCAACGGGAGCTCCGTCTCCGACTTTTTCGAGGAGTATGAAGGGTATGCGGCTGAATGGGGCAGACGCCTAACCACCGCAAACTTCAACGCCAACCGGTGCGGCTTTTACACGTCCTACTACATTCTTGAGGCCCATATCATTGGGCTGAGATCAGGACATCTTTCTCCGATACTCCCCAACGATATGTCTGGGGAGGGATTTAAGTTCCAGATGAGGCTGCTCGCTCAGCACTGCGGGATATTGCAGGCCATGCGGAGAAGGGCCGGATTCGATCCTGCCGCGCGCCTCAAGCGGGCTATGGACAAGATACGGGAAGGCGTTAAGAAGGGGTACGTCTACACCCTCAACGACCTCAGCAGTATGGACGATCTGATCTACCGGACGTCCACCGTTGCTTACGACACCTGCCTGGCTGACCGTCCTCAAACCCAGGATGATATCAAGCAGGAGCTGTCCGACCCTACGCCCCGGAAGTACCGCTTCCGACCTCGCGATCGTTATCGGCCCGGGATACGCCTTACACCAGGCCCCGGCGTGAAGGATGAAGACGAGCCCGACTTTGCTGGATCTGCGGAGGACGAGCTGGGATCGGATGGGTCCTCGTGCGGCGAGGAAGAGAAGTCTGACGACCCTGACGAGCCCATGGACGATGACGAGGAGGAAATCCCTCCCCCTCCGCCGCTGCCCCCGGCTCCTCCTGCGCCACCTGTCCCGGTAGAACCGGAGACTCCCGTGGTGTCGCATGCGGGCGTCAAGCCTGGCGATGCTGTACCAACTCCTCCTCCTCCTCCTCCTCCCGCTCCCATTGCGGCTGACGTTACGACGGCTGAGGATCCTTTTGAGGACGAGGACGCGGCCATCAATACTCGTGTCCCTGACACCGAGTCCGAGCTGGAGGGTGAGTCCGACCAACCCAAGGCCAGGAGGACATCTCATGGTCGGGTCCCCGCGCCCGAAAAAGGGCAGGGGGGCGTTCAGGTCCCGCCTGGCGGGCAACCCAGCTCTAAGAGCATGGCCCAGCCTGCCCGTCCCTCCCCGGTCCCCGCGAGAAGCGGTGTGGAAGGTGGGGAGAGAAGGGGCAGGACCAAGGGTTTCTACACCCAGAAGGATCCTTTTACCGGCGAGGACGCGACTCCCCGAGTTCGTCTTCGATCGGGCGGTCCCGGAACTCCTGCGTCCCCACCACGGGATGCCACCGGTTCCTTGGGCGGCCGCGGCGGCTATGATCCGCGCGATGACGACAACGACGAGTGGGAGCTTCCCCCGGGTGTGCCTCGGACCACTCGTGCGGCAGATGAGTCGCGGCCCCGCCGAGATGACGATCGGTCGAGGACCGCGCTTGGGGCCCGCGAGGATCGTCGCGGTCCTAAGGGTGAGGGGAAGGGTCGAGGAAAACATCGACCTGGCAAAGGTGGACGCGAGGATCCTGGCCCGCCCCGACAAAGGGATGATCGTGGCAGGGATACCCGCGGAGGCCGACGCGATGATCGCCGACCTCATCCACGTCATGAGGAGACCTCCGAGAGGCGCGGTCCGGGACGAGATGAGCGCCGCGGACGTGATGACCCGGGTGATGACCGTCGCGATCGCCACCGGGACCGGCGCAGGGATGACCGACGTCACCAATCAGATCCCCCTCCGCCTCGCCGACCTCCGGCTGGAGACCACAATAGGGGTGGTGGTGAGGATCGCCGTCGGGATGGAGGAGGTGATCGAGGTGACCGTGGTGGACGCCGGAGAGACGACGTGCCCAGGGACCGGGAAGAACCTGGTTCAGGGTGGTAGGCGGGTACCGCAATCAGCATCCGCCTTAGAAGGGCGAGGATAGTACGTGTGTCGCCGAGAAACGCGACCGCGCCGGTCCTCCTCTCGCCTATGCGGCGCTGCTGGGGGTGATGGTCTCCATTGCCCTGTACCGCTGATCCGGCGTTGCTCGTGTCCCTCCCGCACCGCTGCCGTGCGCGCCGGAGACGGTTCCCCTGGCGATCCTGTGTGAGGCTGAGACCGCACTAGAAGTGCCGGGCCGGCCGTAGCCGGGTATTTTCACACCAATTTCGGAACGTCCTTCTCTTCTGTGATCCCAACTCGTTTACCACTCCAACCACTTCGCGGCGTGCAGTGAGGCGCGGTGATCCAGATAGGATCCCCCTCCGCATGTTGTTGTCCCATGACAATGCATGAACGGCACGAGAGGAATCTTCGTCTGGTTCCTCCATAATGTCTCTGTTCACTCATGTGGCCCACTCGTCAAATAATCCTGTCGCCCCGCTAATTCGGGGTGGTGGCGGGATTTTAACTGGGGCCCAGGTGCTGCCGTTGGCTCACCTCTGAGTTGACACCGGCATTTTTGGTTGGTCCCTTTCGTCGTGAACTCAACTGTCTCGCATCCTTTCTCTTGTCCAGATATCGGATGAGGGGGGTGTGTTTTGTTCACGTGTTGTTTCTTCATATGTCAAAACGGCCGAACGGCCGTTTGGCTCAAGTTTTTACCTCCCGTCAAGTGGGAATAGGACTCACGCTCGTGCGCCATTCACTGGCAGCTTTCTTCGTCCTCGAGCCGAAAAGGGTCGGGGCCGCGGGCGGCTGGGTGTAGGAGGTGCTCGGTGAGTCGCGCTGTTCTACTTGGGCTTGGTATTGAACTTAATCCTCTTCAACTTGATTTCTAACCTCCCCATACTTCTCCATTGTCAACCGTCACTTCCTCAACCCGGTCATCATCCACAGCTTCACCCGAGTTGTGTTTCCGGGTGCTTTGGGTACATCGTGATCTACTTTGTGCTCATTTGCTTCCCTGGGCTACTTCGTGTTCGCCCAAAACCGCAAAAGGTATTCACTGTTCGCAAAATGTGGGTCCCCCACAAAAGTGGTGTTCCTGTGGTTTCCCTTTAGAACGACCGAGCCAGAAGAAGAGCAAGTCAGTGTGTGAGTTTTCTTTTGAAGCCGATGTCAACTTTTGTTGCAAGATCCTCTTTGGAGCCATGTAAAACAGAAGCCGAAACCAAACCTCCCCCAATTTGAAGACACATTGCATGGTTGCTATAGGTGGTTTCGAGCTATCTGCTCTCTGCTTTCCCATTTCGCCACGAGGGGGAAGGACCTCATTGGAGATCCACTTGCCCCCGCCCCCACCCCAAGCCACAGAAAACGTATCGTCAAGGCTGGGGCCCCAGCTTGTTCGCTGTGAGTTGGCACCATTCCCCAATTTTGCTGCTCAGGGAGGATTCGAAGCTTGATCCCTGGCCTTGGCGTTGATCACTTGTCACTTCAGGTTCCATTTGTGGGAGGGTAGAAAATAAATATGCATTTCATGTTCTAGGATCTTCAACGCCCTGCGCCCGCGCAGTGCTCTCTCTGCGGGAAACAATAAACAAAAAAACAAGAGGAGACATGCCAACGGATGTCACGTGGCGTCCGTCCTGGACATCTTCTGTTTCAAGCTCGATGTTTGACCGAAACTTGTCCTTCAAACCTGTTTGGAGTCCATGGAGTTGCTATTGAGCAGGGAGAACACCGGTGACTGGTGACGAGCTTTTTTGCAAAGCGCAAAGGAAAGCCCACCGAGGCGGGGGTGATGAGTTCATCCTCTTCCTCCACGACCTCGGGGTTTTGCCCTCGAATTTGGTGCGGAGCTTCGTGCACACGCGGAAGGGCCTGCGAAAATGCGCCGGCCTGCCATCTTCCCGGGACTAAAACTCGTCTGAGCGGTCCTGGTTTAGTTGGTCCGGTCGAAATGGCGCGGATGACTCATGGGCGGACTACCCTATGTCTTTTAGATTCTTTTTAGTTTTTTTCTTCTTCTTGTAATGATGGTTGTAAAGATAAATTTCAGATCCCTTCTCTGAGACTTTCATTGGCACAGTTCGATTTTCTGAGACAAAAAAGAGGGTTGTAACCCAACCAATCAAGCACCAACCCCGTCCAGAGCCAAACCTGCAAAGTGGCAATGATAGGTTCGGGGACCCAAACAGGGGGCTTTGGGCTCAACTTTGGCCATGGACTTCAATGGACAATTCACTCAAGCCAGTTGGTGGACATAACCCAGGTGAAATGATGTCCAGAAGGGACCTAACTGGATGTCATTCCCATATCCTTCCTTTGTTCCCAAGTGGAGATTCTTCACATTTCGGTAGATTCCCGTGCCCCGACATCGTGACGCATCGTGCGCATTGTTTAATTACCTTCCTGAAAGCCAGAGACGGTCAGTCGATCGGGACCCGCCTGGACCCGCCTTTCGACCGGTCTACAGGTGCCCGCATCTAATTCGTTCGGGCCTCCCGACGGACCTGGCCTAAGATTTTTGGTTCGCGGATCATGAGGAAGGACATGGGCGTGTTTGTGTTTGTGTCTGTTTTGAGTTGGTAGCCTTGTTGGGGCTGTTTCAAAGGAAAGCCGAAGGGAATCAGCAATGTTTAGGCTGGGGGTTTTCTATGTCGAGACAAACCCTGGTGTTCTTTCATTCAAGACAGATGCAGTTGAAGAGGCTGCATGCGTGCAACTCGGTCAGCCGAGAGTACCTGATTGAGTTTATTGGTTTCGACGGGTGAATGCCTGTCATGGTGGTAGTGTTGCCCCCCGCAGGATCCCGACATACGAAGGAACCAGCTATGGGTTTATTCATCAAGGCTCAACATCAATCCTGCAACAAGCGGGTCCTGTCGTCATTGATCCAACAGTTCATAGTATGTTCATCCAGACTTGAACACGGCAGGACCCCGTACGATTGCTGCTCGTCCCCGGCTCTTTTGTCTCAGTCACGTTCACCACACGCGGAACGTGTGACCCGAGAGTGCGCAAGGAAAACATGCTCCCCAACTAAACGATGATGTTTAAGCCCACCTTTAAAGTGGACATCTAGGGAGCCCGGAAAACTGTGATCCAGAACAACTGAGTCACGATCACAACCTGCTACTATCTGAGTCTACCCATCAATCATGAGAATCAACAGGGCGGATATCCGCACCCGTTTCTGGTTGGGATTGTATTGGAACCACTGGATCGCGGTACATCTTTTCAAGGCTTCGTTTGGGCGTATGGTGCCTCTCTTAAAAGTAGAGAGGATCACTTCCCCTCCACCCTTTCATGATTCAAGACTTGTTTGCTTGGGACATCAGCCTAAAGGGGTCTTAAACTGCCAATGTAAGGCTTCCTAGCAAGCCGATGTTTGGGCCATAGGGTGAATTTGTGGCCTCCCAAGTTTTGCATCCAGAAACATGGAATCTGACTGGTCGGTGGCACGAATGGGTGCCAATCCAACAAGGAACAAGACAGCCAATGTTAAGGATGAGGGAATGCAAACACTTGTCCTGCAAACAGGGTTGCTAAAAGGGGGAAGGATACATGTTTGGCCGTTTTGTGCTTTTAATCAGCTGATTTAGAGGACTTGATACTGTAATTCAGGTGCTTTTTTGATGTATCCTTTGGGTAACCCTGGAAGGAATGCATAATGTAGCCTGTAGCATTTTCTTTTGGGGTTTCGGTTCAGGTTTTGCCTAGTCACAGAAATCAAGGGGACGGGGGGGGGGGGGAGGATTGTGTAGAGGCACCAATTGCAAGGTCCGGATCGACATGTCCTCGTATTTTTTCCAGAATGTCCCTTGATTGCCTACGAAGGCACAAAATGCAACATAATGGGTGAAAAAGCATAGAATGGGGGGTTGGGCTACTCTAAAACCAATCTTAATCATGATTCCAGGGGAAGACGGTGTGTAATCATTCAGTCTGTTGTGGTAGTCCCCCTTACATCAGAGGTAAAGGGCGGGCCTCGTGAGGAGGTTCTGTCAGATGGACGAGGAGGATGTTGGCGAGAGCCCCAGCCGATTGCGGCTCTGTGGTTTGGCCTTAGAAGTGGTTTGCCTTTGCAACTCTTGATTTTCTTTCTACTCGGCCTAGTGTGATGTGTTACTGATCCGGATGTGTTTGTTTACTCACAATGGTGAGATCTTTTGACTTTTTGATTTTTCATCATTTTCTCTTTGAACTAGCAAACAATGAAAGATTATTTTTTTGGATGTACTGATTTGCATTTCTTGCACTTGTGTGACAACTTTGACATCCTTTCCCTTGTTTGCCAGGCGGTGCACCTGTCACATCCGTCTTTGTAAGACTTGGCGAGGAGGGTGCTGCCAAATGTCTCAGTTTGGGGCGTTGACTTATGCATCACTCTGGTGTCTTGGGCCGGCTGTTCTCTGGCTTGGCCATTCCGAAACCTTGCCTGGTGATGGCATGTTTGCCTCTAAAAACATTTGCCGCACGGCGTCCCTGGAGCGTAGACCTTCTGGCGAAGAAGTGCATAGCTTGTCTTTTCCTCTCTCAGAACTCTAGCGGTCTCAGAGACCGAGTTGCTCCTGTGGAATACATCCAGCCAAGTGAAACTTTGGAAATCCGGCCCCGGTTTGGCCGTCCGAGGCTTTTCTTGTACCCTTTTAGACCCTTTTGCACCGGAGGTCTTCTCCCTCCTTACTGCTTATGTTGCATGTGCTGACGCTGACATCTGACCTTCCACCCATGCAAACCGGAGGATGGCATTCTTGACACTGTGCAGCCATTGCCCATTGCTGTCGTCTCCTTCATAGCTGGAAGCGGGCTTCTAGCCTGTGAATGCTTTTCCCACACTCGACCCGCTCTTGGGGCGTTCATGTTCACCAGGGTGTCATTCGTGTTGTCTCACCGGCAACTTTTTGCAGGGGGTCCGAGTCTAGCCCGGAACCTTTTGCCAGTTTGGAAACCGACTGCTCCCCTACGAAGTAGCAACGTAGGTGAACAGCTGATGGTCCATCCTCAGTCATTTTCGCCTGTTGGCTTGTGGGTTCACAACAGCAGGCTCCCTCTTGCCCCACAGAAGGATTGGTGATCAGAACAGGAATCGGCCATATAGGAATCGGTGATTTAAAACCTTTTTTTGAATTTCAGGTAGTCCGTAGGTTCTGCCTCCGAAGATGAGCGGCATGCAGCCCCGAATTTTGAGAAGAACTTGTTGTAAGAAGAATGCCGTGTGTCCTGGGCAAATTATGACAACGGAGAACCACTCGGGCGGGTTGACCGCGCTTAGAAACGCACGTGTGCCTCTCAAAAAGTGCTCCTTGCAATCATTGTCTTCGCATTTTCCAGCAATTTGGGCGCCTCTAAAAATTGTCACCCTTCAAACAAAAGGGCTGGTGTTCCTTTGCTTTACTATCAACCTCCAATGCCGGCCCCAGCTGGTCGCATTTGTTAGAACCCATTTAGAGGTTCTTGTATTTGAGCCTGTAGGGAATTCAAGTCCACCAGCCACTTTTGAGAGTACAATCTACCAAATTAACGCGCATCCAGTTTCACGACCATTTGGAGGCGCTATGGCAAAGCTTTTCGCTACCAGGTGCCAATCTCAAGGCGAAGCTTCAGCCAAGACGACCTGGAGAGACCATCAAGGCCTCGGGGATCGAGGACACGCTTTTTGCCTCTGAAAGGGAAGCCAAGAGCAAAGCCCCCGAGGCTGTGGCTCAAAATTAAACAGGAGGGGCAAACCGCAGGTTTTGGTCCATGCTAACCCGCTTAGCAGGGTTCCATTGGTACCGGCTTTTTGAGCCACTGCCATTTCTTTGCGGGGTGCCCGTGCTTGGCTGCTGATCCTACTCTGTCCTCACACAAAAGAAACAAAAACAACAAACACACACACACACACACACATTAAAAAATGGAATACTGAACCGGGGCCCCGGGCAGACAGGTGCCAATGGTACTACACTTTTTGGCCGGAGAGTGTCCTGATTTACTAGGAGAAGGACTCTCTCCAGGTGGTTTTTCTGTTTTAAACCAGGCACCCTCCAGGTGGTTTCCGTTTAGTTTCCCCTCAAACCAACCAAACACATGTCCCGCCCACCTCCCCCAAACGAACACGATCACTTATATATTCAAGAAGGGGCCTATGACTTTCCAAACGTGAAGACTTGCTCTCTTATTCTTTCGACATCCCCTATGCATACACCAACGAGTTTGTTGATCCTAGGTTCTCTTGTATAAGCGTTGGCCCAAGGAACATGATGTGTAGTATGCGATAATTCCAATCACTCATTGCAATTTGATGCCCTGTTCTTCTCTACATGCATTGGGTAGATGCTCATGAACAAACACGGAAGTGTACCGGCTTGCTGTTTTTGATGATCTCCCCGCCCCCCTCCCCCGGGTCTCGGGTCCCGGGTCCCGGGTGGTGTTTTGTAAGCAACGGCCACAGCTTCTGGGAGCTCGGGCGCGCCAGGTCGCCCAGACTGTGCTGAAGCGTCGGGGCCCTGAAGCGAGCGCCAGAGTGCAGCCCTTCTCATTGCCGGACGCCGGTTGGAAGGGAGCCAAGGAGCCCAGGCTTTCCGATTTCGCCAGCAAAAGATGCAAGCCCAGGAGCTACCGCGGTGCTGTAAGATGGTGGTTAAACTTGTATAACTTTTTGCCTTTTGCCCTTTTGGGTGTCCTTCATTGCCTCTTTGCACCAACAAACAGCTGGCTTGACCTTTTGCAGAAGGGACGATGAGGTATTTGCCCCTACTTATGTAGTCATCATATGCTTTTGGGGATAGCCTTGCTGTAAGGCCGTTTGTTTCAGTGACCAGAGGTCCCACCGGGTTTCAAAGGCATATCCTTTGCACCCATGGGAGTTAGAGGTTTGTGGCCCGCTGCTTATGTCGACCGCTGGTTTGTGCAGCTTGGTTGGGCCATCACTGCCCGTCCCACACAAGCTGCTGAGTGGCAACATTGGGAGCCTGCCTTTGGCTCCCTTAGTCAACGGCTTGGAGTTGGGTCCCCAAACCACCCATTGAAGGGGGAGCTGGTATTGGGTTGGGGAAACTAGTTGTGGATTCAGGTCACTCTTCGCTTTTGTAGTTGGGATCAGTGGTTGGCTTTCTCCATGTCCCCTCAGCTGCAACCTTCATTTTGCATGTGAAGTGCCTGATGGATGTGATGGTGAATGACAGCAACTTTATTAGCGGGGTCGGGTGATGTCAACCATGAAGAATCCTTTCTTTCTTTCTTTCTTTCTTTCTTTCTTTCTTCTTCAACTCCTTCTTCAATTCTTTCTCTCTGCTTTTTTATGCATGCCGGCGAATGGTTTCTTTCCCACTCGCAGCTATGGCTCACGAAGCTCGGTTTGAGGCCGGGACCGGAACCTGAAGGCCCAGGCGAAAAGGGCCGAAGAGATCAAGAGGAAAGCCTGGCTCGGGTTGAGGAAACGGATGGGAGATGGGTCGTCCAAATGGGTGTGGCTCAAAATTAAACAGGAGGGGCAAACCGCAGGTTTTGGTCCATGTTTCCACTTACCGGGGTTCCATTTTGGGATACCGGATTTTTGAGCCACAGCCAAATGGGGACCGCAATGAGCGGTGTTTCGTTTTCAAGGCAGGGATTCCAGATATGCTGGCCCTTGCAAGATTTTGCAAGGGCCCTTATTTGGATGCGTAGCGCTTGGGATGCGAGGGCTGCTTTTTCAGTGCAATGGGATGCGCTGAATATTTGTAGGTTGTGAGCAATGGTTCTCGGGTTACGTTTTGTGATGCCAAGCGAATTAAACCCCCTTAGAAGTGAGGAAGTATCCCACCCGCTTTGGTACAAACAGAAACGCTCATATTCATATGCGACAAACATGATTGTGGCTTTCAAGGCCATGTTTCTCATTTTTGCGACACACATCCCCATGATGAGGTTCCGAGGGATCGGATATGTTTGGTTGGCGAATATCGTTATTCAGCGCACGCACCGTCTTGGATGGTGTTCCAACCAAGGGCAATCACTGCAACACGCGAAGCCATCGCGGATTGATTCGAAAGCAACTCAGAAGCCATGGGACTGCACGAGCCATGCTGACTCACACTGAACTCCGATTGTAAGGTTCCGGATTGATGGAGGTTCCCTACGCAAAGGGTGAAGTGAGTACCCTTTTTCCCACGAACGAAAGTGGGAAATAACCTGGTAGACCATTTCCCTTGCGGACCTCTTGAGGATTTGCTTCTCCCCACAAGAAAGGAATGGGAAAAGAGGGGTACCCTGTCGATTGTGATTTGTGGTGCCGTGCCCACTCAGTTCATGTGACGAGTTAGATACATGGGATTGGGGAGCAGGGATCTGTATGCCATGGCCTTAGGACGCGTGAAGTAGTGCCGACCAGCGGTCCTTACCAACTGATTCTTGGTCTCCATCCATCTGTTTCGCAGTTTTTTCTCGCCTTGCTCGCCAGGCGGAAGGAAAATGAGCGAAAGTACGTCAGAGGCAAAGTTCGGATCCTCAAAGCGGAGCAGCTGCTCAAGAACTCGCTGAACAGGACGCTCCAAGTCCCGAGCGCACGGGTGAGTCTCGGTCGAACGCTTTGGTCCGTCGCTGTGACCCCAGACCTAAAAAAAGCGGCACTGCTGTCTTGGCTGACTTGGGCAGGCGTGTCGGAAGTTCAGTGCTTGAGGGAGATTTTGCTTTTTGTGGCTGAGGCGGCAGTGCCTGGGAGTTCAGTGCTTTCATTGTGGCTGCTTACACATGGGTGTGGCTCCAAATAAAACAGGAGGGGCAACCCGCAGGTGTTGGTCCAAATTTCCACTTACCAGGGCAACCCATTTTGGGATCCCGGATTTTTGAGCCACAGCCACATTTTGTAGGCAGCCCACGACGGAAGGCGGCCAGCATCCGGATGGCTTCCCCGAAAACGATCGGCGTGCGGAGGTGTTCGTTGAACCCAAGCCTGGGTGATGATGCACACCGGTTCGGCCGCCACACCTGTCGCTCCAAATCTGGTGCTTTGATGAACACCCGGAAGGAAAAACACCTGGGCCCAATCCTGTACACCGAAAGTAAGACCTTCTTATTCTGCTTCATACTTCGCCTGTCCCAAAAATATGAAACACCTTGCCAGAAACACACCAATGCCACCCTTTCCAAGACCTGCGCAGACTTGCGGATGAGCTATGTGAAGCCTTCCGGATGAGCTTTCTGGGTTTGCTTGCGCAAAGCTGGCTGACACGCAAGTGTCACGGAGCCAGGGTACTGCCGACAAGGATGACAAGGATGACTTGTGGTCGTGGAAGTTGTGAGGGGGTCAAGCTTACTAGGCCTACTAGGCGCAGCTGACCCCTTCTTGGACTCCAATTTCCCGATTGGTTGGGAAGAAGGCACTTCAAATTCCAACCTCAAAGCCAGGGGCGAATTTTCCCCTGTCCCTTTCTAAGTTGGTCCGTTGCTGATATGTCCGGCTTTGGTGAGAAGGTCATCGCCGAGGCCAGCTTCCTTGTGAGGTGATCTGGGGAGAGACATTCCCAAAGTCGGCACCTTGCGTTTTTCCCAAAAGCATCTCTGATGCTTGGGTTCTGCTTTAGGTTTTCTCTTAAGGTGCCTGGGAGCGATACAAGCTGTGACGACGGAGATAAGAAGGGATTTTCCATTTCGTTGTGCTGCAGACCGGGCGTGCGATGCCGGCTGCGGGTGCAGACCGGGCGTACGAGGCTGGCTGGGGGGACGGCGGTGTGGGCGGTGTGGTGCAGACTGGGTGCGCGAGGCTGGCTGGAAACTGTCCGCGAGCGAGACTGGCTGGCTGGGGGGACGGCGGTGTGGCGCAGACTGGGCGCGCGAGGCTGGCTGGAAACCGCCCGCGAGCGAGACTGGCGCGGTGGACGCTCGTGACATGCGGAAACCGCCCGCGAGCGAGACTGGCGCGGTGGACGCTCGTGACATGCGGAAACCGCCCGCGAGCGAGACTGGCGCGGTGGACGCTCGTGACATGCGGAAACCGCCCGCGAGCGAGACTGGCGCGGTGGACGCTCGTGACATGCGGAAACCGCCCGCGAGCGAGACTGGCGCGGTGGACGCTCGTGACATGCGGAAACCGCCCGCGAGCGAGACTGGCGCGGTGGACGCTCGTGACATGCGGAAACCGCCAGCGAGCGAGACTGGCGCGGTGGACGCTCGTGACATGCGGAAACCGCCCGCGAGCGAGACTGGCGCGGTGGACGCTCGTGACATGCGGAAACCGCCCGCGAGCGAGACTGGCGCGGTGGACGCTCGTGACATGCGGAAACCGCCCGCGAGCGAGACTGGCGCGGTGGACGCTCGTGACATGCGGAAACCGCCCGCGAGCGAGACTGGCGCGGGGGACGCTCGTGACATGCGCAAAACCGCCCGCGAGCGAGACTGCGCGGCGGACGCTCGTGACATGCGGAAACCGCCCGGGAACGAGTCTGGCGCGGTGGACGCTCGTGACATGCGGAAAACGCCCGCGAGCGAGACTGGCGGGGTGGACGCTCGTGACATGCGGAAACCGCCCGCGAGCGAGACTGGCGCGGTGGACGCTTGTGACGTGTGGAAACCGCCCGCGAGCGCTCGTGACATGCGGAAACCGCCCCCGAGCGAGACTGGCGCGGTGGACGCTCGTGACATGCGGAAACCGCCCGCGAGCGAGACTGGCGCGGTGGACGCTCGTGACATGCGGAAACCGCCCGCGAGCGAGACTGGCGCAGTGGACGCTCGATCGTGACAGGCGGGTTAACCGCCCGCGAGCGAGACTGGCGCGGTGGACGCGAGCGAGACTGGCGCGGTGGACGCTCGTGACAGGCGGAAACCGCCCGCGAGCGAGACTGGCGCGGTGGACGCTCGTGACAGGCGGAAACCGCTCGCGAGCGAGACTGGCGCGGTGGACGCCCGTGACATGCGGAACGCTACCGCTATCAAGACTGGCGCGGTGGACGCTCGTGACATGCGCAAACCGCCCGCGAGCGAGACTGGCGCGGTGGACGCTCGTGACATGCGGAACGCTATCAAGACTGGCTCGGTGGACGCTCGTGACATGCGGACACCGCCCGCGAGCGAGACTGGCGCGGTGGACGCTCGTGAGACTGGGGCGGTAAACGCTCGTGACATGAAGCGAGCGAGACTTGCGCGGCGGACGATCGTGACATGCGGAAACCGCTCGCGAGCGAGACTGTGCGCGGTGGACGCTCGTGACATGCGGAAACCGCCCGCGAGCAAGACTCTCGTGACATGCGGAAACCGCCCGCGAGCGAGACTGGCGCGGTGGACGCTCGTGACATGCGGAAACCGCCCGCGAGCGAGACTGGCGCGGTGGACGCTCGTGACATGCCGTCGAGCGAGACTGGCGCGGTGGACGCTCGTGACATGCCGGCGAGCGAGACTGGCGCGGTGGACGCTCATGACATGCGGCAACCGCCACGTGCGCGGCCCCATGTGAACAGCCCGGTGCTCCAGGTACGCCATAATTGTCGTTTTTGCCGCACACCTGACCCGAACAAACGGTGCCAATGTGCTTCTAGGACGAACCCTCTCTTCAGAAGCTGTAGCCTCTTGGGGTTCGCCCTACTTATTTGGAAGCAGCCTGGAAGCACGTTGACATGAATATGCTGAGCACACTCGGCCCAAACAAAAGGGCGCATGAACATCCGAACAGCTGACCCCGGTCTACGCAGATCGTGGTAACACTGTGTCTCAGACTTGTTTCAGACAGGCGTCAGACCCACCAAGTGACCGAGGCTTGTCCACACCGAGCCCCCCGCAAAAGCGCAGCGCCGGCCCCGTCTCCACTGGTCCACACACCTGTGGCGAATCCACCCAACTTGCCATCCACACGCATCCAATTGACAACGTGCACGGCCCTTTCCACAAAGTCACCAGTTGCAATTGGTTGCGAATGGGAAAATAGGTGGAGAAACTAACGAATCCAAGCAAGCTTACGAAGCAAGTTTGTGAAGGCCACGTGCACGGCTCCGTGTGAACAGCCCGGCGTTCCAGGTGCGCCAAGATTGTCCTTTTTGCCGCGCACCTGACCCGAACAAATGGTGCCAATGTGTTTCTAGGACGAACCCTCTCTTCAGAGTCTGTGGCCTCTTGGGGTTCGCCCTACTTATTTGGAAGCAGCCTGGAAGCACGTTGACATGAATATGCTGAGCACACTCGGCCCAAACAAAAGGGCGCATGAACATCCGAACAGCTGACCCCGGTCTACTCAGATCGTGTTGTAACACTGTGTCTCAGACTTGTTTCAGATGGGTGTAGAGCGAGCTTATGCCTTGCTTCCAATTTGGGAGTGGTAGTTTGTGCGGATCCATTTTCGGATTTCTGCGATTGGTTCTTCATGCTGAATCAGATGACTTCGTGCCTTCCATGTAGCGCGGGGCCTGTCATGTTTCACCCGTGCCTTTGCCTTTTTCTCTGTGCTTGGTCAGAGCACAGGCTGCTGGCTGCCAATCCGGCTTGAGTTGCGGTTGCTCCCCTTCTTCATCTGTTTTGGGGTTGATTTCCCAACTGTGAACAACTAAAATCTTGGTTTGCCTTCGGACCCTTGATTGAGCCGGAAAACAACGGGATCCACATGCCATGGAGTGAGGCTGGTTTGCTTTTGGGTTCCCGGGCACCTCTTGTTTTTTTGGCTTTCTTTGACACATGGCGGTTCTGGGCCCAAAGAATCGGGCTCGGTTCTTTTCAGGCGTCTGCGCGTTCCTTTTTCTGGTTCTGGTCGACCCCAGCGGTCCAGAGGTTCTGCTTCTTCCTTCATGGGCCATCATCGGCACAATGGTCTGGGTGAATTATGGCAAGCGTCACGATAAAGGTTGCCTACTTATGGATTTCTTGTTGCTGTTTTATGAATTATGACAATTTGCCCGTCGCCCTTAGAGCAAACCATCCAATCAGGGGAGGGTCAAAAGGCGATTTGGACGCGCGAGCGCGCTTCTGTGGTGCTTGTAAAGACTCATTATCACTGATAGATCTCAGGTTGTGCGATCAATGCTACCAGGATCAAAGACCAGAAGAGGCTCAAGTATGTGAAGAACAAATCCCAGGCAAAGACTGCAAAGCCTGTTAGCAAGGCGCGGCCCGGGTGAGTGAGCGGCCTGCTCCCATGGAGTGTCCTTTTTCGAGGGCACGGACCGAGTTTTTGGGCTCCTGAGCCCATGACACGCGCATGAAGTGGAGACCCTCGCTCCTCAACCAGTTGCCGGTTGCCTCAGGGGATATGGCTGTGTCCTTTAAATCAGTGGATCCACAAAATGGGGCTCCCTTCATACCAAGAAGTCACACACCAACACTTCAGCTGAGAAACCCACGAGGGAGAAATGCCAGCCATTTCTGCTTCTGTATTAAGTGGCCCTTTCTATCTTTCGTAGGTCACCGGTTCCTTTTGGTGCGGGATCGGGAAATGAGGGCTGCTTTCAACAGGAATGATGAGAGCCCATGGGCTTTGCTTGGAAGCTACTGGTGGACGCAGCCATTCGGCTTGCAAAGTGAGGTCTGTTAAACCTCCCAACCATGGAAGATACATCCAAAAGACATGGGATGGCAGAAGGCACCCGGTTATCCTGTTTTGTTTGAGACCATCCCCAAGAAACTGTTTGTATAATATGATGTTTCGCTGGGATGGGCCCTTTCAATGACAGCCAACGTGCATTCATCTACCAATGTTTTCGGTTAGTCAGATTGTTGGGCAGCACTCGCGGGTGACTTTGCATATCAGGATGTCCTTTGACCACTTCACTGTTTGGATGGAAAGTAGAAACCGTCTCTTTGTCGGAGCCCGGAAAAAATGGACAAACTCAACCCCACCAGGAGATTTTCTTGTTGGCGGGGTCCAAGCTTGTGTCCAAACCGTTTTGGAGGTCCAAGCGTTGTCAATGTTAACCTCGGACAATTCAAGGGAGGACCGTTAACTCGGAGTTGAATTTCTCCCTCCCAATATGGGTTTCAAACTGCAACCGCCAAAAGGGGGTTGCCCACCCCTAACCAGCTACAGGGACCCAGGATTCAACTGGTTGATTTTGATCGGGGGCGTCTGATGGGAATTGGACCACTCGTTGGCATCTTCGGATCAACCTCTGCCAGGTGGGCCATACACCAGGGTCACTGGGCAACTGGGGCAGTAGGTACAAGGGCCGAAATAATTGGAACGGGGTTGCGGTGTACTATAAAACCAACATGAGTCAGTATTAGATCGTCATTCCTAATTCCTTCTGTGGTTCGTGATGCTAGGTAGTTGATTATTTGGCTGATTCGTTACTCACGGGACCTGAGTTCATGGACTTGATACTTTTCGGGAAGGCCATGTTAAGCAAAAACAAAGTGGACGTTTTTTGGTTCCATCCACTCGATCGGACGTGAGTTTAGTTGCTGGTGCTCAGGGAATACAAGAATGCCCCCCCTAACCATCTCATTGTTTTTTGTTTCTTTGGGAATCCCCAAACAGTCCGTTCCATTTCTCATTCCCTCCTCGGCACCAAGTTGAGTTGCTAAGCCCCTGGCATTCTGCTCCGCTTCGCTCCGTGAGGGCCGCGTGCTGGCGGTGTGCCGCAACGGCCGCAAGAGCCCCAGCGCCGAGGCGGGATCGGATCGGATCGATGGCCGTCTTGAGATTTGCGATGGGCTGTTGGAATGGAAGCCACGAATCTGTGATGCAGACAGGGGCTCCACGTGTTCGTACAGGGTTGTGAGATCACTCGGGATTTGTCCCCACTTCTGTGATACTTTTGGGAATCTCCCCCTTATGGGGGAAAATGTCTTCGGGAAGGTGACGCATTTGTGTGCGGGTTTGGGCGTTTTGTAAGCCAAAAAGGGAGTTGTAACTCAATGCATCCAAGGGCACCGAACGGATCAGGCCTCTTTTCAAAGCACCCCCAATTGATTCTGTGTTTTGTTCACGTGTTGTTTCATCATGTGGCAAAACGGCCGAATGGCCGTTTGGCTCAAGTTTTCCACCTCCCGACAGGTCTTCTGCGGTAAAACGTCAGGCGCCATAGTGCGGCGGTCTTCCCCCTCATTAAGTAGTTTGCTGCTTGGTGCGGGATAGGGCTGGCACTAGGAGGTACCTGGTTTTACGGCGCGGGCGCCCTGGGCTTGGTGGCATACTTCCCGATTTACTATTGCAACGTGTTTCCAAACCTCCCCAAACATTTTCCTCTTCTACCGTCACATCCTCAACCCGGTCATCATCCACAGCTTCATCCGAGTTGTGTTTCCGGGTGCTGTGGGCACTTTGTGATCTACCTTGTGCTCATTTGCTTCCCTGGGCTACTTCGTGTTCGCCCAAAACCGCAGGTTATCAGCCGTACCAGCTAGAAGCTGGGGCTGGTGATCCGGTTGCGGGACGTGACCCGCTACCTGCTCCCATCGCCTACTTGTACGAGCAATGGCGTCCCCCGGAGCTTCTCATCGTGGGCCGGGCTTCGTGGACGACGAGGCCAACGCCCTTCGCGGCAACGCCGCGCCTGCTGCCCCCGGCTTAGACAGCCGGCTGTGGCCCATTCCCCCGATGGTGGGCGCAGAGCCCAATCCCGGGGTGATCACGGACGATTGGATCCTTTCTCAGGTCGTGTTTGATGAGGATGCGGAGGCCCCTATCCCGGCGGCAGTGCTCCAGATCGAGGACGGACCCCCTCTAGAAGAGGCTGAGGTTCCTCCAAATCAGGTGCCCTCATCGATTTCGCCTACTGTTCCGTTCGTGGCGCTCCAGATCGAGGACCGGGCTGTCCATCATGCTGCTCATCCGGAGCCGGCTCAATCATGGTCCCTTACATGGGATCAGTTTGACCAACTCCTCGGCAGTGGATCGCAGGCTACACCGCCTGATTTCGGTCGGCTCGACTTTAACTCGGGTGCCCCCGTTTCGGTTGGGAATCTGGATTTTCAATCCCTTTTTGATGCTGATTGGAGGTCTCAGCCTTCCCGAATTGACAGATCTTTTGATGCCCTGCCTACGCATGAGCCTACTCAGGGTTTTCCTCATGATGGAGAAAATGACCCCATTGAAGATTTCTCCCCTTCTCATGTTGCAGGTTCGGCCCAACCCGAGGTGGGCAAACGGGCGATTGAGGATTGGCCGCAAATAGCTGGCCCTCCTCCCGTCTCAGGTTCATCCGACATTGACATCATTCACGATCACCCCAGTCCGGCGGATATGGACTTCATCCCTGATGCAGTATCATCTCACCTGTCAGGTACCCGCGACCGGAATGCGGACCGCTACAACGCTGGTCCGAATCCACCGCTTTCCTCAGGTACCCGAGGTCGGGATGCGAACCGCTACAACGCGGGCTCAAATCCGCCAAATCGGACATCAGGTACTAGTCGATCGGATGCGGGCCGCGAAACAGCAGGCCCAAATCCTTCCTCCTCTTCGTCAAGAAGCCATGCCGGTCTCTTCGCGGCGTTCAATCGGCGTCAGACTCGAAAAGAGTCCGCCCCCGACGTCATCGACCTCGAGGAGCAGTCCAGCCACCGTACCAGCGATGGATCCGAGCAGGATACACCTGGTATTGGCTCTACTCCATTTGACCTCCTCGACATCCCCTTCCATCAGCCACCCAGGAGAGGAAATGAAGATGATGAAACCATTCCTGGGATCCTTGATGTAATCGATGAGGCCGAGGTCACACCAGAGAGACGAACTACATCGCTCCCGCCGAGCCGCGTTGCCAAAGTACTTTCCCCTAAGCCACTCAATGGTGACGTTGCTCAACGGCTTGATCTCACTCAACCTAATCCAGATCAAGCTCAACTTCGCGGATCATCATCATTTGATAATGTATCGGGACAAACCGGCACTGACTCACGAGCCACAAAGAGGAGCTCTGAGTCACCCGAGAGACGTGAAGCTGCTCTGCGACTGCGATCTAATCCCCCAGCTCATCACGATCCTATTGACGTTCCTATACACTCTGCGGGGTCTGGGCTCAGCTCCAATGCCCCGATGTCTGAGAAGGAGACTGATGACGGGATTAACTCTACGCCTAGGAATCGGAGACCTGGACTTAGCACTGTTGCCCCTGGATATGGAGGGCTTCCTTCGAATCAACCGGTCAACGACTCCGTTGTCCCCGCATTCTTTCAAATCGGAACTCCGGGCTGCACTCCCGACAAGGAAGAGAATAGCCGCGGAGATCATGACGCTGATAGTCGTCCTGCTCCGTCTGCTTCCACAAGTGGCGGCCATCCTGTTGCATCTGAGCTTCAACGACTGCTTCTCGCGATCCATAACGAGGTCAAGGGGTGCAAGGCCGAAATCCAGGGATGCAGAGCTGAGATTCGTTCATGTAGGGATGATATCAACGCTTGCGTCGGTGAGATCAAGAAGATCAATAACCGTGTTGACGCCTTCGAGAAGAAGGTTGAATCATCCTTCTCTGCTGTTGCCGGAACTCTCTCAAAACACGAGGCTAAGTTCCGTGATTTCCACGAGTGGGTTGCCCGAAGCGAGAAGGAGATGAATGAGCGTTTCAAGATGTATGATGAGAGATCTAACTCGATCGTCATATCCGCTGCTGAACTTCGCGAGCAGGCCGAATCACTTGAGAACGCCAAGGTCCAGCTTCTTAGGTTTTCTGAGATCGGGGCCCTTGAGGCTGAGGTTCGGAAAATCAAAGACGAAGTTGAGGCGAACTCTCGCAGTGTCATCGACATTGAGGGAACCATCTCAAGAGAAAGAACCATCCGTGGGAACGTCGAGACGTATATCCAGCATCTCGTTCCTGCGACCGACCTGAAGCAGTTCAGTGATAAGGTATCCGGAGCCCTCAATGAGAACTCACAGAAACAGGAAGAATTCAAGCTTCAATTGTCCCGCATTGCTAGATGTGTCAAGGACCTTCATGACAAAAGCTTAGGCCCCAATCCGAGGGACATGCAAGAGCAGTTTATGAAGCTTGTGCTGAGGGTCAATGAGATCAACATGCAGATCGCTGAATTGAGGGAGCAACCTCTTGCTGCCTGCGGATCCTCGAGTGCTGGCGCTGGTTCGACCGCCGGAACGGGATCATGGGAGAAATCTGGAGACACAGATCCCTTAACCCAGGGAAGGGCTCCTAGAGGTTCTCCTCCTCGTGATGCTCGCACCGTCAGCTCGGCGAGGCCTCCTCCACCTCCACCTCCTTCGGGGCCACCCCCACCATCACCATCAGCCCCCATCTTCGGCAGGGATCCCTCTAGAACGAGGGCCATTGCTCGGGCTGCCGGCGCTGCCCCTGATAACCGGGCCAGGTGTGCTCATGAGGAGCCCGGGCATCCACAGCATCGGGAACCTCGCTATCCATGCCGAAGCTGCGGCAAGTCAGTCTGCGAAGACTGCTTTGACCATGACTGTAACTCATGTTTCAAGTGCAGCGATCAGTTTCCTAGATGCCGCGCATGCAGAGGAAGAGGGGGAGACACGGACTTGTGAGGTGTCTCATATGCAAGGACGAGTACTGCGATCAACACATCGCTTCGCCTGACGATGTACGTCGTTTTGGGTCGAGTGTTCGACCTATTTGCCTCGGTTGTCTGAGAGCTGATCCCGACGGGAAAACTAAGCATCGCGGCCCCAGTGCGGGGCCTGGAGGACCTGATTGCATTCCTGATCATAATCAGCGGGATGGCACTGCTCCTGATCCTGGATCCGGGCCATCACGTGGAGATCCGTCACATCGGAGTCCTGAACCGCACCAAGGGAATTCTGGTTTCTGTTCCCACGCCGGAGCTGCCGGGCCAATGCCACCAAGGGCAATGTCTTCGCCCGTAGTCGGACGAGCAGTTCCGAGGGGGACCATCAACACGTACCCCGGATGTTCCCCTACAGGGGGGATTTTCACCGGTCAGGTTGAGCATGGAACGTCTCAGGGAGTCATTCGCGGGAGATACGGACCTGACGCTGCTGTGACAAATCAGCAGAATTCACAGCCTCACCACGGAGCGGATAACTCTGGCGGGCCAACTGGTTTTTCTCTTCCACCAGGACTCGGTAAGGGTGTGCATGGCGTCGGTGGCGTCGGCGGTATTGGAGCTCCCGATATTCGCCGATCTTCCGCTGAGGAGAGGGTCTGCCCTCGGTGCAACATAAATGTCAAGACCAGCATCCCCGGGACACCTCCATGCTTCCAAACTTGTTCGTTGTGCCGCACTTCTCTATGCGCCGCGTGCTGCCCGCCATCGTCCGGGAGTTGCTCTCTGTGTGCCATATCCATTGGCAGAGACGGCGTTTTACCTCCCCATGTGTTTGGGCAGGCTACTCGACCGCCCTTAACTTCGTTGCCATCTGAGGCGAACAAGTGCGCCAACATAGAGCTCGAAAAAGAGCCCGCACCGCATGAGTTGAGAGACTGGATC